ACTATATTATGCTGCACTAATTCTTCAGGGTGACTGATTAGAAGATTGAGATGCTGCACTAGATCTGCCTTTCCTTTTGGAAGACATTAGAGGCATATAAAGATGAAAAATTGCAATCACTGCCTCCTGCTCAACATTACGCGACCTATTCGTTCGCCATGCTAGCCCCAGAGTATTAGATTATAGCTATCATCAAAAAGCAAACTTTTTAAGAAACATTAAGTAAAGACCTGAGATGATAAACAAGAACAAACAAAAACGCTTACATTTAAGCAACGTAAACTCAGATCCACTATATACATAAAAAGAAAACTGTTCTTTGAGCAGGGGCACCAGTTTGAGCATATAAGTACCAGAGACAGCTCTCTAGTTGGTACAATTCAATACAAACATTGTGGTTACATCTGGTTACCAGTGAATTTGTCGGTTGAATTTCTGTAGGGCTCTACCAGATGCATATATGTTGAGCGTAAAAGTGTAAGATCAGCGCGGAAAACGTTTCGCCGACTGTTTCTGTTTAGCTCCTGGTTTGCCTTTTAACTCTTCTTAACTTTCATAACAATGATGCAAACTTATTTATTTGTAGGTTCTTGCAGTGCGCTTGGTACATTTAAAATGCCCACACGCGCATTACAGGGGACAAATTAAGGAGAAAATAAGGGGTCTATCTTTAAATATATCAATGTACATGTAAAACAGTTATTTTTTAAGAATATCTCCGACTAAAAGATAGAAACAACAGATTTCTTATAAACAAACATTGTAACACTCACGAGGAAAACTGACTTAAAATTATCTACTGTCGTTTAACGTTCCGTCGTCACTACGTTCTTGCTTTTCTGTCTAAGCTTTGAGGAAAATCGTTTTTGCTATTGTATCTAAAAAGTCTGAACATGAGTATTAGATTATAGCTATCACCAAAAAGCAAACTTTTTTAATAAACAGTAAGTAAAGACCTGAGATGACAAACAAGAAAAAACAAAAACACTCACATTTAACAGGAAGTGAAGTTATCGGACTCCACGATCCAGTTCCCGCAGGCGTGATGGCTCGAACACGAACAGAAATTAGGTTTTCAACAGCAGGAAATGTCACGCTTGTTCTATAATAAGGCTGTTTACCATCACTGCATTCTATGTCCGATCCATTAGAGTCCTATCCATAGAAAAAACATAAAATAACCAGTATTATTTTCAAACAAGACTAAGCAAGGAAAACAACAATAGATTAACAGCAGTAAACTATTCACATTTCGCGTGACGAGTTTAAAGGCTGATTATTCCTTGCATTAAATTTCTGGTCAAAACTTTGGTTAGCCTGGTAAATCACGGTTGAACCAGACTGACCAGGCATTAACACAAAAGAAGACTGTGAACAGCCACCCCTCCCGTAATAAAAAATAGATGCAGGAGTGGCCTGTGTATTGCCCGTTCTCCCTTCAGGAAAGGCGGCTGCGTACAAGCTACTCCACGGCAGATCACAGATCATAGATCACAGATGTAGGGTTAAAGGCGGCAAATTATCGAAGGAGTTCAGTACTGTCAGGTCACTTTGTTTGCAAGATCCATTTACGGTTTGATATTACTTTTATAGCAACATCAGTAAAGATTGTGGCGCTCCGTGATGAACCTACCAATTTGATTTCTACGTCATATTTAAGCACAACTCCATTGGGGTCTTTCGGTGGGTTCCAAGAGACAAGACACTACAAGAAACATCGATATCCATGTTAGAACGAAAAATATAGCATCAAAAAGAGCTGTCTACATAATATATAGATTTAGCCAGGGCTAAAAGCGAGGCTCCCATTAATAAATTTATAATTTAAATCAAACAATAAATTTGTATTCCACAATATTCAGTTAACTTTAGAGCAATTTCATGTGACTCTTGAAGGAAACGCTAAGTGATTTTAGAGAAAAATAATTTGCAAACAGCCCAAGAGTGATCTAAATCCATATCGAGTTGATAGCCTCATATGTACACCCAAAAACTGGCAATCATCTTCGATCACATTTAAAAGCCACAATGGCTCTTGATCACCGTAGATTAATTAGGCCTGGAAAACAAATCAGGGCGGGGTTTTTGCGTTCGACAAGTTTACTTTTCAAAATCTTGCCACCAGTCCATTTATACATCACCTCTGAGGTGAAACAGTACTACGAGGCACTGTTTTTATCATACAGACTTCGGACAGACTGCATGATGTGATGTGATGATCGAAGCATGAGTTGGCTTTTAGCTAAATCGATAAAGAAACTTCCAGTCACCTATACGGCCAGCCGGTTCTCACTTTTGCATTGCGAGATGTGGTCGAGTCAGTTTGAATGAACATTAATAGAGTTACGCTCCAACATAATAAAGAAGTTATTGTATTTATTTTTTATTTAATGGTTTTTTCGATGTGTAATCTTCAAAAGCGTTTGATGCGCGCGGCATTTTGAGTACTCCTGCAAGCAATGTTTCACTGAAGGACTGAAAACAAAAGGGCACAGCGATT